ATATATATATAATGATGTGGTATGTATAGTACATAAAAACTTGCCGGAGGCATCTGGTAGATTAAATATCACTCCTAATACATATTGTATAGAATAAAATATAAATTATAATAAAATATAATACAATACATATATTATAAGTTGTATTAGTTGTCACTTGGAAGAGTTTTCTTGAATCACAAAAGGTTAAAATTAGAAGTGACTATGGTGATCATGTGGTTTGGCACTCAGGCTTTTTTTTTTTTTAAATATTTACTTGAATTAAGGCACAAACGTACTGGGAACTATTCACGTCTGCTGGGTGGTGAGCACCTCCACTGTCATGCATATTTAATTTTGTCCTGACAGTGCATTCTCTAGGAAGCAGAAATAGAAACTTACAGTGGAGGACACAATAATCAAGAATTTATTTACAGGAATAGCTCTGCTCCATAGCTCCTCACACTTGCTCTTACCATGGGGTTTTCAGAAGGAGCAAGTGCATGGATTCGGCGAGGAGATGTGGTTCCACTGAGAGGAGGCAGGGAGGGGAAGGCAGGCCACTGCCCCTCGCCCTCCTGAGGGACAGTCTGCGCTTCACTGACACCACTGCGACAAATTAGGCTTTTCTCAAAACAGATAAAGGTAAAAGGGGAGGGATAATTTCTCCTTTCTTATTTTTTAAGAACACAGGTTTATTTAAAACAAAGATTTTTCCTGAATCCCTTTACAGCCTTCTTCCCTCAGGTACTGAATCTGATATTCCATCAAGTAATCGTATGCCACATTTGTTTCCTTTCCTTCTCTAACACATTTTTCAGTTTCATCCCTTTAGAAAGGAAAAATGCAAAGACTACTCATGGAAGCTGCCAAGGCGTGCGGGAAGCCTCTGGGAGTGTTTATCAAAGGATGCGGAAGGCTTTCCGGGGCACACTCCTCCAAGCCCGGGGCTGAAAGACAGAGGAGCCCTATTTATTATTCTTATTACGTGGGGGCGAAATGAGAGCTTGAAAACAAGTGCTCACATTCAATGTGGGTGATAAAAAGGAAAACTTTTTAAAGAAGGGATTATTAAAATTCAGAGACAGCAGATGCCTCCAGCAAGTTTTCACCAGGGGAATTCTGGTGAGTGAGCTTTCATTTTCAGAGTTTTAAGCAACTGGAGTTTCCATTTTCAATTTCAGTAAAAAATATAAAATCTCTGTTCCTCAATACGAAGAGAGGACATTTAGGATGTTGATATACGTACAAAAATGTAAAATACGTTTTCATTAATTTTGGTATTCTGTTTCAGAAGTTTTAAAATTACTTTTAGCCATCCATTCTCAGTAATATTTTTTCTATAAAAGAAAAATTAAAGACTTCATTTTTTCTTATCCATCAGACTCCAAGGAAATAAAATAGTGTATTTTACTAGAGAAATACAGTTTGATAAAGCCAATCTGAAATCTTGATTTTCTTCGTTATAAAGTTCCCTCAGGATGAGCTGCACTGGCACTACAAAGAATAAATACATAATTACCACGTTCTGGGAAGTAGCGTCTGGTAGTGATCATGCTTCTGTCTTGACGGGTATATTGACAAGGGAGGCTGTAGGGAGATAGATAGACATATTTTTCACAAACAATTACTTTTTTGGACTTTACCCAGTTCACTTTTAAATCATTATCACCACCATCAACATCATCATCTTAATTCAAGTCTAATGAAAGAAATTGTTTTATGCAAAACCTGTGACTTCTTGTCCCAGGAGGAAGATTGTGATCCCATAAGAACGTGTCCTCACTGAGTGCATTACTTAAAAGGAATTCAAAGAATGGCACTAAAGCCGCTGGGCTTGGAATTTGGAGATGCAGCCTCTTCTTCTGCATATCAGCTGTGTGTTTCCAGCCTCCTTGTCTGAAGTCCTCCCTCTGTGAAAGTGGCGGAATAATGAGTATCATGTGAAAAACACAGTAAGCATTATAAATTAAAAAAAGTGTCAAGTTCATTTCCACTTGGGGCGGGGCTTATCTGAATCACAAGGTACGGAGTGGGGATGACAAACACAAGAGTCAGGGGTCTAGTCCTGGCTGAGCTGGAGGGGTCCTCCTCCCCCTGCTCACCCCAGTGAATTCAGCGATGAAACCTGGACAGATCACTGGGATCAGCAGTTCGAGAACTCAGGTGGATTGCGGAAGGTCAGAGTTCAGACCTCCATCGAACTGATGGTGAGTTTGCCACATCTCATGGCCTGAAGCCCAGACACAGGCATCAGGGTGGACAAAAGACTCCAGGAGAAATCCCCTAGTTCAGGCTCAAGAGACAGCAAATTGTCTCCTGAGCAGCAGCAGCAGGCAGAGGCACATAACCTGCCGAGGAGAGACTCTCCCTCTTCAGTCAGAGGAGCTCTGCCCTTAGGAAAGCGGGCTGAGCATCTTTGTTTTCCTTCTTTATGAGTTCCCATCACTTGGCCTTAACTGTGGGCACAGTTTTGGGAAGTTCACAGCAGAGTAAGATAAATAAACCCTGAAAACTAAGTTTTCAGGATCAAAAAGGGGGAGCTTAGGGAACAGAAAAGATTGTGGAGAGAGAAGAACATGGAAAAGCAACCCCATAAGGTGTTTACCAATTCAGAAGCTTAGCCTCAAAGTGCACGAGCATGGACCTTGTTTATCTAAAGTAGCTTACAAAATAATTTAAGAACTGAACTAAGAGATGGACACTCTGCCTGGGTTGTAGACTCAGCGCCATCACACATGTTACTCAGATCATACAAGTGCTTACAAACTTTGAAAGTGGAATGGATGTTCAGACCATTGCCTACAGAAGACTGGATGTAACTTACAGCCCTTTCCTCATTTTTCCATAACAGGAAACATCAACAGTCTCATAAGCTTTAAATAAGACCCAAAAGCCTTATAATATTCAAACACCCAGGATACCATCCAAGATTACTCAGCGTATGAGGAACCAAGAAAATCTCAGCTACGTGGGAAAAGGCACCCAGAGGAAGCAATGCCAGGATGGCACAGATGTTGGAAATATCTGTCAAAGGCTTTAAAGAGACTATGATAAAAGGCTCCAAGAAGGAATGGCGAACATTGTTAAAACACATGGAAAGATACAAAGTCTTAACAAAGAAGTGAAGATACAAAAAAGAAACAAATCTATAAGAATCGTATGAGGTCCTTTAAAAGTTCCTCACTGATCTGGTGGAATTTTCACATAAGACTACTATGTGAGAGAAGGGGAAACAGAGAAGACTGTTTATAAGTTTGCAAATGAAAATATGAGTGTGGAGGAGAATGGAGGGGCGCTTACCTGCTACTAAGATTGGTTACTGGCACACAGGAGGGGGAAATCCCACAGGTAACTATTTAGGACAAGATTTTAGTGGAACCTGTAGAGTGTAACTTATCTCTAAGATACTGTGAATACATAAAAATAGAACATGCACATTGACAAAGAATACATGATACAGCCATTGACTTGCTCTTCTTAAATTCCTTTTGATTCTATAGAACATCTATAACAAAATGTTTTTAAAATGTATCTCCTGTGGGCATGTTTGCATCAGGAGTCATAAACCTGCCTCAAAGCATTAATAGGAGACGGCAATGTGCTCTCAGGTGTGGACATGCGTGGTGCACTCTGGGATGGCACACAGAGCTTAAAAATGTCCCCCATTCACATCAGATATTCCTTGGATCCTTGAAAATGCCAAGATCACCAGTTTAATGTCGCACATCTTGTTGTAACTCAGGTAAGTCCGTCTTTAATCAAATTCTCCCATCTAGAACACTTTGGGAAGGTGCCTGTGGCTGATTGAACAATAACCACCAAAGACGCTCACATTCTAACCCCCAGAACCCATGAAAATGCTAAATTACACAGCAAAAGGGACTTCGCAGATGTGATTGTGTTGAGGATCTTGAGATGGGGATAGGATCCTGGATTGCTGGAGTGGTCCAGCGTAGTAACAACAGGGAGGTGGGGGATCAGAGTGAGAGAAGGGGATGTGAGGATAAAAACAGAGACCAGACAGATGTGGCCCAAAGCCAATGAATGTGGGTGTCTCTAGGAGCTGGAAAAGTCAAAGAATGGATGCCTTCCCCAGAATCTCCAGAAGGAACACAGCCCTGCTGATACCTTGATTTTAGCCTGGTGAGACTTCTGACCTCCACCACTGTGAGATAATAAATGTGTGTTTAAGTTTGCGGTAATTTGTTACAGCTGTCATAGGATGGGAACACCATCCCCTTCAGAATTCCCGTTGACTTTTCTCTGTTCTCTTGGGGAGCACAACTGTGGACCATGACTGTGATCTCTGTCACCTGTCCTCATGTTCCTGAAACTTCTGCTTTCTCTTGGTCTCCAGTGTTGCCCTACACTGGGCAAGTTTCCTCTCCCATCATTGACCTAACGCACTGAACATAAAGCTAATATAGGTGGAAAGTTTTATGGACATTTTGGGGCTCGTAGAGATGGATTCTGGAAGAAAACAGACTTATTGGAATGCTGTGATGGAAACAGTTATAGATACCACATTTCCATTTTTAAAAAATGCATTGGCTCCCCCAGCAGGAGCGATTTCTTTCCCTGACACTGTCTCTTAAGTGTGTTTGGACTCCACTCTCTCCCCAGCCCCTCTGGACCCTTTCCCCTTCATTTTCACATCCCTCCCCTCACTGATCCTGGGCTGCTGGTGAAAACTCAGAGCTACTCTCTCCTTAAGATTATGCAGAGCAAGCCAGCCTTTGATTTCTCCTTCCAGATCACGCTCGGAGTTTTGGAAGGGGAAACCAAAGAGACCATTAATTTACTTTATTCCACTGGAAGGAGAGTTATGCCATGAGAAAGCAGCTGCAGTTAATTTTTGCTTTATGTAGATTTTTAATTTCAGCATTCCTGCTATAAAATGACTCTTCTCCTGCCCGACCTTTCTTGTCTCTTTTGCATTGTTTCTTTCTCGTCTTTGCCGGGTCCCGGGTAAGCTGTAAGTTGTTCCTGGAGGAGGCTAGGCTGGTGACTCTGTCAGTGTGGTCTCTCTACAACTGTCACCGTTCACTCCTTTAATTTCCTTAAAGTAATAGTGAAGTCATGGCTAGATGTCTCTCAATTCAAAGTGGCCGGTGGGTTCCGTATTCATTCCCGCCCAGGTTACTTCCCCAGGAGAGGAGTGTTGACAATGTTTAACCGAGCTTTTGAGAGCTGAAAGCTCACCTCCTAGGTGGTCATGAAGACACAGCAGATGACATGGGAACACAGCTTTCTCCATATCTCAGTGTTGAAGAGATGACTTTCATATGGGAGGATGGGACCCAGCGGAGACGAGGGGCGAAGACAGGAATTGTCTCAGGGGACGTGCGAATTGTTGCTCCCTTTCCTTCCCAGGGACTGAGGCGGTCCATGTGCGCCATGGCTGGGCCATCCCTCTGCTCCATAAGGCTCATAGGTGGCTGTTACTTCGGTGTCGCTGATTTTTCCTGGGTCCTACCCTGCTCCTCTGGGAGGGACGCCTGGATAGGGCAATGTCACAAATGGGGGATGAGGATCAGAGGGTGGGTGGCACTTCCATGGGACTGAGACGCTGGGAGAGAAAACGTCACACTTAATACCCAGAACCCTGTTGCAGGGTTTGAGCACACATGCCAGGGGCTTCCTGAGGAATGAGGAGGGCCACAAATTGGTGTGATGAAGGGACGGTGACACGGGAGGGGCGACCTCTGGCAGCAACCCTAGAACTGACTGGCTCGGTCTAATTTCTCTAACAATAACTTGACTGATGGAAACATTAGTGTGATCTGTATTATTTAAAAAGTTGGACTTCAAGGAGAAATCCCATCACAAAATAAGGAGATGTTTTGTCTGTTCTCTGGTCCCCTGCCCTGGCTCATGTGATGTGTGTGTTATAAATACTTGAGCCAGACACTTAGTCACGGGGAACACTGTCCCTAAAAGTGAGAGCTGAGGCTTGTTGTCGCCAAGATGGAGAGCTCATATCTCTGCACACGCTCCATAAACACTTCCTGAATAGATCCAGATGCAATAAATATGCACTCACCAATGCTCCACCACGTTTAAGACATTACCCCAGTGCCTTGGGGTGTGCGGAGCTGGATCAGAGGATCTATGCCCAGGGGCACACATCCAGGAGTAATGGTATCGTAGCCAGCTCAGGCTGTCATGACACAATCCCGCTGGCTGGGTGGCCCAATCAACACACATTTATTTTCTCACTGTTCTGGAGACTGAATGTCTAAGTTCAAGGTGCCCAGTAGGGCTGGTTCCAGGAACGAGCTCTCTTTCTGGTGTGCAGATGTCCCCTTCCTTGCTGTGCCTTCACATGGCTTTGCTGTGCACTTGGAGAGAGAGAGAGAGAGAGCTCTAGTGCCTCTTTTTCTTTTTATAAGGACACTGGTCCTATCAAATTAAATCCCTACCCTATGACCTTATTTAACCTTAATTATCTCTCTAAAGACCCTATCAACAAATACAGTCACTTTAAGAGGTTAGGGCTTCAGCACAGGAATTTTGGCAAATAAGTGGTTTAAAATGAAGAGAATCATTTTAATTTACAACATAAATCATCACAATCATAAACATTAAGAGTTTCCTTGGTGTTCACTCCTGGGATATTTCAAAAGATGATAAAATATGGAATTAGGCAGAGCTTGTTAAGATCCACCATTTTTATCATATGACCTTTTCATTTTGAAATGTAAATGCACATAAATAAATACGTTTTCCAGCCTGTGTGGCTGCTCAGAGGTTTCTCCAACCCCCCAAAAACAAGCTAATTAGACGTGAAATATCAACCAGTGAGCAATTACAGCCCGACAGAAAATACCCCAGTGATTCTGTACATTTTATAAATTTATGATTTAGGCAAATCTCAGGGTTATATCTACATCATGTATTCAGAAACAGCAGTAAAACCTGGTCATCATGAACATTAAATATTCACTATCTACTTTTCTTTGGTTGGTAATAAGTACACATGAATGTCTTTTCATTTGTTAGATTCCTTTTCATATTTATGTCTAATTTTTCTGTTCCCTTTCTCTACCAGCTTCAGTAAGAAAAAGCATGATTTCTTGTGTGTAATGACCTGGCAGAGTTTTATTGCAAAGAATCCAGAAGCTCTAAATTCTGGAAGGTCAGTAAATCCACGGGTTGAAAGCAAATGTTGGTTGTTTTGCCCTTTCGGTATAAACTATTTTGGCACTTCTGACTCACCCATACGAACAGGTGGGGATTTTGACTGTCTTCCTCTTTGGGTTCATTCTAAAGCGGAACCTGAGATTAAGGCTTGAGCACAGGTGGTTTACCTGTGCAGGGACCCATCATGATGGGGCAGCGCCACTCACGCTGGAAGAGGGGTGTGCAGTGGTTTGCTGGCATGAGAGTGGCATCTGTCTGTCTCTTGATCCCTGTGTGGTCACGGAGTGGCCTTACCCTGACATCGTTTATACTCTCTGAACGTCGTTTATGCTCGCTTGAGAGCATCACAGTTCCACTGCCAGCGAGGCTGTTTTTCACTGTCGTGGTATCTACATTATCTTTCATTTTATTCATAACCGAGGGAAGTTACTACAGCAGGGTTTATCCTGGAACAGCCTTTGGGACTTTCCTCTCTTGGACGGTTAACAGCTGTCACTGAGAGGGAGTGGGACTGCATCCAGAAGTAATGCCAAGCACAATTGCACAACTGCACATTGAAAGACTTTTGTAAAATGCTAAGCATGAAGAATGTGTCTAATTCCAAAGAAATGGAGCTTGTGTACGTGAGCATTTTATTCCCACAGCTAAAATGATGCACAGGACAAGGACGATGGCTCAACATGGCTTGGCCTGAATTATGCAGATGTGTTTCTGAGTTTTTAAACAACATGCTCTGGATTTGACCCAAGGTGTGATGAGACTTCAGAGTCTTCCAAATCCAATAATTCACTGGATAACCACAGTACTTTCTCTGCACATTTTTGTCTGGAAGTTTTGACCACAACATCCCATCAAACTCATTCAGATGTCTTTTTTTTTTCTCCCCCCCCGCCAAATCGAACGTGTTTAAGTGGAATCCTTGGACCCCATACTTCAAACACCCAGAGTATCTGCTAACAGTGTGCATACTTGGATCCTATCTCAAACCTACTATGTGATCATCTCTAGGGCTAGAGTCTTGCAATTTTTAAAGGTCCCTCAGGCAATTAGACGGTGCACCAAAATTTGGGACTCTTGGCTTTATACAATCCACTGCTGGAGGAGTGCTTACTGGTTTTAGATGAGGAAATTCCCAGATTGAGTTTGAAATTTGGATTCTGCGGTCTTTTGTATGAAGGGCTGCCTCCACCTCTTGTTGGGATTCCCTTGTATCCCTGGATCCTTATAGCCTCTTTATTTTCCACCTACAGTGCATTCTCCCAAACCCCACCCAGAGTTTTCCATCCCATTTATCTCTCCACCAGTTGTCAAGTTTTTTGTGTGTTCATTTCCAGGAACTGATGGCAGATTTGAATGATTGAGAAGAGAATGTGGTTCCTGCTTCGCCTGAGAATGGCTACTGTTGATGGAAACAAGAAGGAAATGGATACTGTTACACTGAGCCAGTTTCTAACATGGGGGGGAGGCTTTTCGGAACTTTGAATTGCATGCTCTGGGGAACGATGAATCTGCCTGAAGACGACATCAACTTTGACCTGACGTTCACAACACTCAGTGCCCTCCCCCTGCCCCCCACCCCCACTCACAGGCGGCTATTTCATAGAGAAAGTTCTGGTAACTGTGCCTGAGGCACTTGCCGAGATCTGCCTGGATCCCCACCCCGACCCCAGTGGGCTTCTCCTGGTGTCCGAGGTTCCATCCACGATGATCCTTCTTCTGAGCATCGTCTGTGGGGACACATTAGTGAAAATGACCCGCTGATGCGTGTGGCTTCTTTGTGCTGCTCTGGGAACAGAGACGCAGTGTGTGTAGCCCTCAGAAGAAGCTCATCCTGGTTTTACCCCCAACAGAGTGTGTATCTCCCATTCCATCTCCCTGCTGCAGGTTCAGAGGGAGATCAAGGCACCAGGTTGCGGAAAGTGGCTGTTTCGTTCAGCAGGAGATAATTCATACACGGCTGTCTGGGATGTTCACACCTATTTTAAAGGCTCGCATTTGATCTGTTCCCCAGGAACCAGCCATCTGTGGGTTTTAAGGAGCATGATTATTCAGACACTCATTATCAAAAAGCCAGAGGACCTGTCTGACGCAGAGAGACGCCGGCTTCTGTGCTCCAGGTGAGCTCGCCAAGCGGCACTTACTTCTCTCCTGCACCTGTTGCGCCGCGTTGTCTGCTCTGCCTGTAACTGGCACGTGTAATTTTCCCCCTAACTGTAAGCAGTGTCTTAGAGTTTTCCTAACAGGTTAGTTCCCTTTGCTCCAATTTCTGTTCTTCTTATGAACTTCCCTCCCTCATCACACGCACAGTCCACACACCTGTAGGTGTTTTCTCATCGCTGTCACTGCACACTCATGTTGGGGCATGTGTGTGTGTGTGTGTGTGAGCACATCTCCCCGGATGCACAGGGATAGCAGGCTGCCCTTCAGCTCAGCCCTAGGGATTGCCCAGCAGGTAAGTTGCCCCTGTTTCCTGAGACACGAACCCTCTCCATCTGCTCTCAAGCATCCTGATCCCTCCTTGCATTTGGGCCTGGGAGCTGCCCAGAGGTGGGTTAATTCTGATGCTGTCCTAGGGTGGCAGCCAGCCTCCAAGACGGCCCGCAGTGAAGCCTGCCTCCTTGCTTTCCTACCCCTGGGAGTCCTCTCCTGGATCATGCCGAGGTTGGTCTGTGTGGTCAGCAGCACATGGAGAAGCAATGATGACACTTCCCAAGCCAGGTTACAAAATGGCTCAGGGTCTCATCCCAGGTTCTCCCCGTCTTAGGCTGCTTGCTCCAGGGACAGCTGGCTGCCTTGTCCTGAGTGCCTGAGGGAGTGAGCAAGTCCTTGACCTACAGCCAGTGGTGGATTGAGGTCTGCCATCAGTCCTGGGAGTGAATTCAGAAGCAGCCCCAGCTGAGTCCTGAGATGATGACTTCCCCAGCCTAGAGATGGAAAGCAGCCAAGGGAAAAAGCCTCAGCTAGGACCATGCAGCTAAGCCCATCCCAGATTCCCGAGCCACAGAAACTGAGGTAGGACCTGTTTCAGCCTCTATGTTTGGGGGAGATTTGTTACGCACACTGTATGACTGATGCACCAAGGCTGTAATGTTGTCTCCTTAGGTCCCCTTTGTCCAAACGATTTACCTTCAAGATGAAATTCCCAGACTGACTGATCTGGCAGGATGCTGTGCCATAACTCTTATTTGGTGCTGAGTCTTGCCATGTATGCAATTCTTGTGCCAGGAGATCCAAGACACAGAACAGTGTTGGGCAAGAGGAGGTACCCAATAGGTGTCTGCTCAGTTAGTGATGCAAAGAATGTGGCCTTGATGTTCACAAGATCACACTCCCAACCAGACCCCAAGGAAACCACCCAATCTGAAGGAATATTGACTAGAAGGTGCCATCAGTTGAACCACCTAATGCTGCCCAGAAAGGATCACCAGATTTTACACACCATCCCAAGACCGTGTCCATGCTGGTCCCACTGTTCCTGTGACCTAGTCTTGGAGATTTGGGTTCCACTCTAGGAGGTGAGGACACACCGAAGGCCATCTCTCTGAGCTTCAGTCAGTCCTCCAGCTTGGTCTTCCTTGGAAAAGGGCTGCTCGCATCCTCATGGGAACCTCTTCCTCTCCTATTTCTCCCTCACCTCCCTGAGTCTATCTCAGACTGCTGGCTTCCTTCTTCGTCTGGGAGACAGGGTTCTGCTCTAGTCACACTTGATGTGACTCTTCCTGGCAAGACCACAGGGCCAGCCTCAATATACTGGACAAATGTGCCCCTCTCTGGAGTTCATTTTAGTGACTCGCTTATCAACTGCCATCCTCACAGTCCTCATCCATCACCTTTGACCTTCGGCTTCTGACCTGGGCTTCAAGGAAATTATCAGCAATGACTCTGTAGGCAGATGGGAGGATGGTGATGTCACTACAACCACACTGCTCTGCCCACGTTCTTTATGGAGGTCTTACATTTTGGGGGGACATTAATATTGGACATTGCTCTTTTCTAGCAAATAAAAGATGTTAATATATTCCTGTTACTGGCATGGGCATGACTATGTTATTAGAAGCCACTGTATCATTTCCCTGATTTAAACAGAGATGTCTGTTTATAAATTCTGCTTGTAGTTTATTTTCACAAATAAAATAGTAAAATTAAAAAAAAAACTCTGTCTGCAGAGAGGGAGGTGTCTCTACCCCAGCTGACCACTTCCCCGGTGTCCAAGGGCTGCCATGGAATCCCGATGTTCCTCTCGGTCAGGGGTGCGCACCGCCCACCCATGCCTGCGGCTCACCCATTGCCCACGTCTGCTTTCGCCTGCTACAGCAGAACTGAGTAAACGCACGGAACATAAGGGCCACCAGAATGAAACTATTTGCTATCTGGCCCTTTATGGAAAACATTTCCCAACCTCTGCTGTCTAGATCGGTAGATGCCAAAAGTATGCATTTTACTATTACCGAAGCAAGACTGGCAACTACTGCAAAACACGTAATACACGCACAATGATAAGCACAAAACAGCTGACACGGCAGCATTTTAACACTACAAGGAGAGACAGCCATCTCAGTGCTGAAGGAGAGGATGCAATGGATAACTTAATTAGGAATCCACCAGAGCCCTGAGTTTCCTCATATTTAATGAGAAAGCCCAACACTGATGCAACAGAAATGATCATTAGAATTTGAATTAAAATATCAGAAGGTGAGTCCCAGCCTTTCTCCTTTCCATTGAGTGGGTTGAATAAGTTAGGACTGGATTCCATGACCTCATATTCATCCTATGGGATGGAGGGAGACCCACAGGGATGGACAGCTACCTCGTGTCAGCCATGGTGCTCTTTTATTTTTGTTCCAGCATTTTTGTAGATGAGGTAAGTAAGGCTGAGAGGGG